CCTGCCTATTTGTTTCACAATCTGTACCTGGTTGGTTCGCTCATTGCCAGAGATCCCTCTCTGTTGCTGATCTTTTCTGGCCGGCTATCTGATCTTGAGTATTGAGCGAAGACAACTGTTAATGAAGGTCTGTAGTTTGTTTGAGATGCTCTTTATGACTCGCAGTGCAAGTCTCTGATCCGTACAGTCAGTAGCAGTGACTTCACATTGGAGTTGAAAATCCGGATCTTATTTTTGATGCTGAGTGCTGTTTACCTACACACAGACTTGAGAGTAGTGAAAGCTTGTCTTGCATTTCCGATTCTCGCTTTGATATCCTCGTCAGTTCCATTCGCCTGTAGTTGAAACGGTGCTTCCCAGGTAGGTAAAAGAGGTTGTTTCTTTCAGGTTCCTCCCATTTATGCTGATAGTTGTCTGTTGTTGTTATTCTTGTCCAGGAATCTTGATTACCTCTGTTTTCTCTATGTTCACCTGAAGTCCTATCTTCTCTGGATGCTTCTTCTGCCAACTTGTTGCTTTTCGCTTGCATATCTTCCAGTTTGTGGGAAATCAGACATATATATGTCATCGGTGAAGTCCAGATCCTCGAAGTTCTCTTTTTGTGTGAGTTCATTTTATGCCTGTTTCCTCATTGCCCGCTGTTTGTCGCATTCTCCAATCTACTGCAATCAGGAAAATCATTGGCGATAGTAGGCAGCCAGCTTGTCTTACTCCTGTCCTCACTTCGAGGGATTCCGTAAGTTTCCCGTTGTGGATTACTTGGCATGCAGCATTGTCATACAGCTGTTGGATGAGATGTATAATTGTCGGTGGCACCCCGTAGTAGCGAAGTAGTTGCCAAAGCACCTCTCGATCGACCATGTCGAAGGCCTTTTTATATATACATATACATATATATATATATATATGTATATATAGAATCACTCCGTAAGGATATGACTCATGCATCTTTTATTCACTTAGAATTTATTGAATTGTTTATGATTGCTCTTCTACGTTTCATTTAATTTACTACAAGTGATATTTAGCTTTATTTCGAGAACTCTTATTTTGAATGAGTCATACATCCATTGTGATCCAGCCTAACACGAATGCATGTTATCACATAGTTGGAGGCTATAAGAAGGAAGCTTTGCTTGACCTAGTTTTAATATTTGTTGGTACTCACTAATGAACAAGGCATATGTATCTGCAATCTTGAAGGAACTCATATCCCTCCTGAGATGTATCATTTCTGGGGATCTAATTTTTTCTGGGAAGAATAATTCCCTTTCATTTCGCGATTGTAAACTTTTAACTTGCACATCTCTAAGTTTCTTGAAGGCCGAAATTACCATCTTACTATAGAAGCTTTAATTAAACGTTTACAGTATTATATACTGCTACGATTATACTCTTGGGTTCCTAGTGGAACTATAAGATGGTTTCAGCAAAGCATCTCCACTTTGTTCTTTTTTTCTGCTGTCGTGTTTATCTGGGTCGACGGTTGCCTATAGTCTCTCATCTCCTCCTCTCACAGTCCCCGTCATATCAATCCAGTGCATCTCTTAGTCTGTCTAAGATGTCACGACTTAGTATTTTACTTGGCGTGGACAAGAGCATTATTCCACGCCAGTCAGTTCTTGCGGATCCATATGTCACCCTTCTTTGACAGCTTGACGTGGTAGCCAGCCTTTCTTCCAATCGTTGGTTACCTTCTCTTCCCTCTTTCCAAACCTGCAGTAGTGGCGTGCGCACATCTACTGCAGTTTCTGGATCCGTTTTCAGTGCTTTGTAGTAGAGGGGTGATTCCATCTGGTCTTGCTGCCTTTTCGGACTTCAGTAGCTTGATCGCATTCAGAGTTTCAGCTTTCGTTGGAGGATTGGTGTCCATTGACAGGCATTTCCGTGAGTACTGTTAGTGGTATATCTAGTGGAGTTTCAGGTGATGGTCGATTCAAGAGTCCTTTGAAGTCATCAACCCATTGTTTTATTTGTTTCTCCTCCTTGGTAATCAGGTTCCCTTGACCATCTTCTAGTGGTTTCATCATCTGACTTCATCTCTTTCCAGATAGATACGTGGTTATGTGATATTATGTCCTGAGATCTCTATTTTTTTTTTTTTTTTGATTTACAGCTTGATTCCACACCGTATTTTCAGTACAAGTATGGAATTTTCAGCATGGATATCGGTAGCCCAAATTCAGGCCGACCATAGATATCGGGTGTGCGCCGGCTGGGGATCGAACCCCGGACCATGTGCCTGCGGCTTGTTATGCTTCTGTTGCCAGTGTGTCTTTTGTCTCTCCTAGCACGCTTCATTACTGCTTTATTCAGTGCAGTGTACATTGAACTCAACTTCTCCTTCTGTTGTGCATCTTTGCATTGAGTCATCTCTTTCACCATGCTTCTCTCTTCTATTAGCTTCCATGTATCCGTTGAGAGCCATTCCTTGTCTTGTTTCTTCTTTCTTCCTAGAACAGTTGTACACGTCCTTGAATATTGCCTTCAGAGAATTCCGATGCTCTTGCACGCAGGTGTCCTCAGTAATGCCACGTAGTGTGTCCGACTTTGCTCCGATCTGATCTGATCTGTAGCATAGGCATCCCTTGTACTTTTGTCCTTCAGTTTGTGAATGTTGAACTTGAATTGTGTCCTGCCTCCAGTTGTCCTTAAGGATTTCAGCTTCACATTGAGTAGCATTGAGATGAAATCTATCTAGTTCGTGGTATGCCCATCAGGCGAAATCCATGTTGCTTTGTGTATATCCTTGAGTTTGTACACGCTTCCTCCGACCACGAAATCATTGAAAGCACAGAATTCTGCAAATAATTCTCCTTTCTTTTTCATTTCTCCGAGGGCCTCACGACCCATGATGAGTTCTCTTCTTGTACTATCTGCTCCCAGTTTGGCGTTCATATCGCCCATGAGGATTCTCTATGGCTCTGAAACATGGCCAATACGAGTTGAAGACTTGAAAAGGTTGTCTGTTTTTGACCACAGATGTTTACGATCTCTTTCTCGCGTTAGGTGGTATAATAAGGTAAGTAATGTTGACGTTAGGCGTAGAGTGTTGGGCAAAGAGGGAAAATCATTCGAAGAGGCTATTAAGTTACATAGATTGAGATGGCTAGGTCATGTGCTGCGCATGCCTAACCATCGCCTCCCCCGACGGGCATTACTAGCTGATATACGCGCAGGTTGGAAAAGAGTAAGTGGTGGTCAAACAAAAACATGGCCTCATCAATCCATGAAATCCCTGACAGTTAAACTGAGTCAGGTAGGGAGATGCAGACTTCCGGGTTGGGGCCCTCGGGACTTTAAGAATCAATGGCTGGAGACAGACAATAGGTGACATGGCTCAAAATCGTTGTCAATGGCTTGCGCAGATGTATTCAGTCTCTGTAATCTTTCATATTCCTTTCTACCATTACTCATTGTGTTTCACTCCTATACTTGTCAAAACTCTATTGATTCTCTTCACTCATTTTCCTGTCTACGTTTGTGTGCTATTTGGAACGTGGTAACTCGAATTGTTGCACGTCGGTGCCAAGTTCTATGTTAAATCCAGCCAGCCAGCCAGCCATGAGGATTCTGATGTCACCATTCGAAATGTTGTCCATTACTGTTTGTAGTTGTCTGTAAAAATCTTCCTTTTTGTCTTGTTCCGCGTTGTTCGTAGCACTGTGCGTAGCATTGGACAATTGTGACCTTCCTTCCTTTTGAGTTGAATCATGCTGTCAGGATTAGGCGGGATGATTTTGGTTCCCACTGCATTAGGTATTTGGTTGGCACTGTTGACATCATGATGGCCACTCATTGCCTCATTGTGCTCATGGTTGTCGTCTGGGTGACCAGACCGTAGTAGATTACTGACTGTCCAGTTGACAATTTTGACAATCCACATCCATATGGGCATCACCTCACTGGTGTTATATCCCTGTTCCCCAGGAGTACGAGTTTGCCCACACACCTCCAGCGTAGTGTAAAAACGAAATGCTTACACTTTGCCGGTAACTGCTTTTAGTCAAATCGCTCGCTATCCTAACAACCTTCCTGGCATGATAGGACGTGCAGTAACAATAGTTCCAGTGTAGCCGGTGTAGCCTGTTGGTTCGTTGCGATACGCAGGCAGGCTCGACCACCACGTCAAGGTAGCAGCCCAACCCTCCCTTTTTACCCGGGCTTGGGACCGGCTAGAGAACTAGCAAGCTAGTTAACTAGGCAAGGTTAAGAAGCCTGATGATAAATGTGATTCTTTGTTGCTTATCTATCAACTAAAGCTGAAATATAGATCCTTAGGCGTTTGGAATCCGCTGAAGTTATTATACAATGCTTGTTGGTATAAATATATATGATAGCTGTTTGTGAATATTGATTTATTTTGCGAATATGAATGCTCCTGTTAATCAGTCTACTGACAGTGAATATTTCCCAGTTGTGATATCTAAACCTAGACAGTATGACAAAGTAATAATCTGAATTGGGTCGGGTTCCAATAGCTTAACAACCGTCTACGAGCTCTTCTCGCAACCAGAAGGTTCGAATGGGTTGTTGGGTGAGTATGGATGGATAAGGAGTCCCAGACTGGGACAAAACAGCTGTTCATTACTGTGTCAGGTCTTCCAATAGTTCTGTAACTGATGTCAGCTCGTGATCAGTTTTGTACTGAATATAGTAATACTATAATGTATTGTTTACTATCATGGAAAAATGCATATAGTTGGTAATATGTGGTGGTAGGCTTATGCTAAAAACTTTGTGATCCATTATATGAAAACTATGATATAATTGTAAAGACTCAAATGTTTCTGCACACAGAGTCTATCAAACAGTATTGTACTATTCATGTGACTTATTTGCAGTAAATAAAGTAAACGCTAAGAATATGGGTTGTGTATTACTTGTCGTAGCCTCAGTAGTGAAAGTTCCAGGGCCTTTCACATTTAGATTTAAAGGGTTGCTGTTTTTCACCCTCAAAATAATTCTACTTTTTTTCGTGTGTGTGTGGAATCTTTCAGATGAGTAATCTGCAATTCGCTTGCAATGTCTGCAATGTGCGGTGTGATACTGAAAATGTTCTCAGATTACATGAACAAGGCAAAAGGCATCGTTTAAAATGCCTTAGTTTGCAAAAATCTAACTCAGTAAGTCATATTCACCAACCATTGGAAGTTTCACTACCAGTACTTACCACACCTGAATCAACGTCTCCCAAAGATCTATCTTGGGATATGTGTAAGCCATCTTCTAGAGCATTGAAAAATTCAACTCCTGATCATGAATCACCCGTAAACATGGTTTCTATTGATTCGAACTCAAAATATTTTAATGCAGATATGATTATTATTATTATTATTTCCTTTAATTCCTAGAGGAACATAGGGCTTCAGCCATGCGTCTCCATTGCGTTCGGTTCTCTGCTGTAGTTTTCACCTGGCTCCAAGTCTGCCCACACGCTTTCAATTCCTCTTCACATGATCTCCTCCAGGTCACCCTTGGACGACCAACTCGTCGCTTCCCTTTCGGGTTCCACTCGAGGGCTTGTCTAGTGATGTCACTTGCTGGTTTCCTCAGAGTGTGTCCAATCCATCTCCATTTCTTCCTGCCTATTTGTTTCACGATCGGTTCCTGGTTGGTTCGCTCCCAGAGATCTTTGTTGCTGATCCTCTCCGGCCATTTGATCTTGAGTATTGAGCGAAGGCATTTGTTAATGAAGGTCTGTAGCTTGTTTGAGCTGCTCTTTGTGACACGCCAAGTCTCTGATCCGTATAGTAGTACTGACTTCACATTGGAGTTGAAAATACGGATCTTATTTTTGACGCTGAATGCTGTTGACCTCCACATAGACTTGAGAGAAATGAAAACTTGTCTTGCTTTTCCGATTCTGGCTTTGATATCCTCGTCAGTTCCTCCTGTAGTTGAGACGATGCTTCCCAGGTAGGTGAAAGAAGTTGTTTCCTTCAGGTTCCTCCCATTTATGCTGATTGTTGTCGGTTGTTGCTGTTGATGTTGGCCAGGAATCTTCATTACCTCTGTTTTGTCTATGTTCACTTGAAGTCCTATCTTTGCTGCTTCTTCTGCCAATTTGTTGCTTTTCACTTGCATATCTTCCAGTTTGTGGGAAATCAGACATATATCATCGGCGAAATCCAAATCCTCCAAGGCTTTTGTGTCGGTCCATTTTATGCCTGTTCCCTCGTTGGTTGCCGTTGTCTGCCGCATTATCCAATCAACTGCAATCAGGAAGATCATTGGTGACAGTAGACAGCCTTGTCTCACTCCCGTCCTCACTTCGAAGGATTCCGTGAGCCTCCCGTTGTGGATTACTTGGCATGCAGCGTTGTCATACAGCTGTTGGATGAGATGTATAATTGTCGGCGGCACCCCGTAGTAGCGAAGTAGTTGCCAAATCACCTCTCGATCGACGCTGTCGAAGGCTTTCTCAAAATCGATGAAGTTGAGATAGAGAGGTGACTGCCATTCCAAACTTTGTTCAATGATAATCCGTAGGGTGGCGATTTGGTCAATGCATGACTTGTTCCTCCTGAATCCGGCCTGTTCCGGACGAAGTTTTTCATCTAGGGCTTGTTTAATTCTCTCCAGGATGATGCGACATAGTATCTTGCTTGGAATGGACAGAAGCATAATTCCACGCCAGTTTTTACATTGACTCAAATCTCCTTTCTTTGGCAGTTTGAATAAGTATCCGTTCTTCCAATCCTCGGGTACTTTGCCCTCTTTCCACACCTTCTCTAGTAGTGGCGTCATCAAGTCCGCTGTTGTCTCTGGGTCTATTTTCAAAGCTTCTGCTGGGATTCCATCTGGTCCTGGCGCTTTCCCAGCTTTTAGCATCTTGATGGCATTCAGGACTTCGGATTTCGTCGGAGGGTCGATGTTCATTGGTAGTTCTGCTTCCGTTGTTGGTATTGTTGGACGCGTTGTAGGTGGCGGACGATTTAGAAGTCTTTTGAAGTGTTCAGCCCAGTGCTTCCTCTGTTCCACCTCTTTGGTGATTGACTTTCCATTGTCGTCCTTTATTGGCTTAATCTGTGTCGAACTTTTGCCCGAAAGGTGCCTAGTTGTTTGGTATAGTGTAGCGAGGTCTCCTTTGCCTGCAGCTTGTTCTGCTTCGTTTGCCATGGTTTCACAATATTTTCTTTTGTCTTCCCTGGCACTTTTCTTCACTCTTTTGTTCAGTGCATTGTAGCTTGCATTCAACTCCTGTTTCTGTTGCTCGTCGGTGCACTGGATAATCTTTTGTTTCGCCACCCTTCTCTCTTCTATTAGTTTCCAAGTGTCCGTAGAGAGCCACTGTTTGTCCTGTCTCTTTTTTCTGCCTAGGACTTCCATGCAGGTTTGACTCCACACCGTTTTCAATTTGTTCCAGTGCTTTTCGACGCTGACCTTTTCGTTGGTGTTGATTTGTGTCTCGGCTTTTTCCCATATGTTTGCAATGAAGATGTCCTTTGTGTCGTGGTCCTTCAGTTTTTGAGTGTTGAACTTGGCTTGTGGTCTATCTGCAGCTCCTGTTTCCCTGAAAGCTTTTAATTTGATTTGGATTGTCCCTTGTACGAGGTAGTGGTCTGAGCCAACGTCTGCTCCTCTTCTTGCTCTTGTGTCCAGTAGGCTGCGTCTCCACTTCCTCGGTATTGTGATAAAGTCAATTTGGTTTTTGGTTCGCCCGTCTGGTGACACCCATGTAGCCTTGTGGATATCTCTGTGCTTGTAAACACTGCCACCAAAGATATGAAGCAAAAGTTTTTGTTACCTGATGGCAATCTCTTTTGTTCTTTGTGTGATGTAAAAATGAATTATTTGGAGCAATTAGACGCTCATATTCGTGGACGTAAACACCAAAGTAAATCAAATGTCAAGATAATAGACAGCAAAAATTTGAAAACCACAAACGTATGTTATACTACTTTAAAAAAAATTTTTATATACCCTCCTTTTATGTGTTATGCTGACACTTTCAAACAATGGTCACTGTTATGATAAAAGAAATACTTTTACGGCATAGGGTTGCTAACCTCGCACCCAACCTTCGGTCTTTTCCAGCCTTAGTACCGGTCTAGTGAGGTTTAGGAGTACGTCGGCTGAGGATCGAATCCCGGACCACATGTGTGGTTGGCGAGTGTACCGCACAGCAGTCCACTCGCTCCTCCTTCAAGGCTGTGAGTGAGACCTTGCCATTGAGAGTGGAAGACATCAAAAATCCGGCTAGCCAGCTGTCTTTGATCGTATGTACCTGCCTTCTATCTCCCGTGGGAAGTGGTGTAATAGGGTGAGCAATATTGAGGTGAGGTGTCGGTCGAGTGCTAGTTGGGTAGGTAGGTAGGTGGGAGGGAAATCAATCGATGAGGTTGTGAAGTTACACCGATTGAGATGGTTAGGACATGTGTTAGGCGTGCATTGCTGGCCATCGCCTTCCTCGACCGACGGACTATGTGAGTTGAAATAGGATGGATCAGTTTGGAAAAGAGTTAGTCAGCCAGTCAGTCAGTCACGTAGAGAAATGTAGACTGCTTGGCTGGTTGGAGTTCTCGGGACAGTAGAAACCAATGAAAACTTGAGACGATTGGTGATATGACTCAAAATCGTTCTCACTCAATGGCTGGCACAGATGCAACTACTCCCTGTGACTTATAATACCCAATAGAACTATATGGTTCTTACATCTTACTATTGTTTTTGCCTCACATCTCTGTTTACTATCTCTATTTTGCATTTGTTTTTACTTTCTTCTCTTGCTTTGTGTACTAAATGGAGGGAGTGTGGTGACTCGAACTGCTGCACATCGGTGAAAAGTTCTGTGTTGAAATCAGTCAGTCAGTGAACGAAACATCTTTCTGTAGAAATTATTTGCTTTGTGTGAACTACAGTCTGTCAGGATGTATGTGGATGTTATAAAAACATATCGATGAGTGGTGTAATCTTTCCTTCTGTGCTCTGATGGAGCAGCACACATACAAGTATCCCCTGGATGAGATCCAGTCAAGTAGGGATTTCTCTACCCTATCTTCCAATGCATATCACTACATATGTAAGTCATCATGTGAATGAAGTAACCAAAGAATGTCCTGATAGGTGTTTAGTGAAATTTTCCAGATTCATTCTATTCGCCAGGTGGGATTAAATAATGAATCATGAATAAACACACTTGGTGGGATTTGCAAGGATACTTACTACTTTCTGACTGTCTGGTAGTGTTGTAGCTCGTTGGATAATTGACTGTGCAAGTGCGATCAGCACTTCATAGTAGCAGCTATGTCGATCGGGAAATAACTTTCGAAGAACGAAAAGAAGCTGAGGGATTGCTGTAATAAAATGTTACATTTTAGATATAGTTTCTCTAAGTCATATGTGTGCTTTATATATATATCCTTGTAACCAAATTACACACTTGTTAGTAACTACTATCATGTGTCCAGCTAGTCCTCGGTGTCGGTGCAGGCTGAATTCTGTCAGCCTGTCAATTTTGCAATGTGGCTCAGCATCTCACGGTGCCCTGTGAACTTTTAATATTAGATGGTTGGAGGCGATCGACCACAGGAAGCCTCTCTTCATCTAAGTTTCGTATTTGTTCGCATTCACCAGTCAGCAGGGCGTGTGTTCAATCTTGAAAGAACTCATGTCCTTTCTGAGATGCAAACCCGTCTCACCCTGTACTGAAGTAAGAGACGTTACCACTGAGGCACCTAGCATGGTGGTGGCCGCATAGCAAACTTGACTGACAATAGAATTCAGTCTGCACCAAAACAAAGGACTAGACACATTGATATTAGTTAATGACTAGTGTGTCTAATCAAAGTGTCCAATACAATCCCACAGGAGGTCAATCGTGGGCCCGAATACCTCAGTGGTAATGTCTCTGACTGCAGATCTAACTGGGTGACGCGGGTGCGAATCTCAGGAGGGACCTTGCTCACTGGTGAGAGTACCAACAATCACGAAACTTAGGTCATTTAGGAAACAGAAAGATTGAGCGAAGAAATATTTACTTTTCAATTAGATCCTCATCTCTCTCTGGCTCTACTCTAACACACATATGTAGCATTTTTATTACAATACACAACAGTTTACCAATCAAGTGGCACTGATATGTTTGTTTGTCAACAATAATTATTCAGTGTCAAAATGTCGATGGAGTGACAATTAACGAAGAAAATTAATACACACAATTATGATGTTCGGAAAAAGGATGATGAACCTGCCTAATTGTACGCCCAATGTAGGTGGCTCCGCAGCTGCAGTCAAACTGGTAGATACACATAGAAGAGACAAATTTAGATAGTTAATAATTATTTCTAGAACGTAGAATACGGGTGATAGTGAAGAGACAACATACCTCTGCTGCATAATAAGCTCTTTTAACTGCATTCTTCAGGCGCTGGGTTATTATTTAAATAAAAATGCAGTTAAGAGAGCTTATTATGCAGCAGAGGTACGTTGTCTCTTCACTATCACCCGTATTCTACGTTCTAGAAATAAGAATAAACTATCTACATTTACCTCTTCTATGTGTATCTACCAGTTTGACTGCAGCTGCGGAGCCACCTACATTGGGCGTACAATTAGGCAGGTTCATCATCGTATTTCCGAACATCATCCAACATGGTTAAGCAAAGGACAAACAAGATCTATTCATAGCTCTATTGTAGATAGTGAGCATATGGTTGACGTTAATACTGCATTTAAAATTATTTCTCGCATCCCTACTAATCTTAATTTTACTCCACGAGATCGTCTTCTACAGACAGTTGAAGCAATAGAAATCCACCTGAAGAAGCCAAACCTGTGTGTACAGCCACTTACCTTGCTTTGGCCATCGATACATGACTGTATAAACCGGACTATTTCGCCTCCCTCCCCCTAAACCTTTAAAATTATAAAAATTATTATTGTCCAAATTATTTTATTATTTTTTCTGACCACTTCATGTTTAATTACGTGTTATCCTCGTAAAATTAATTAATTCTATCCATTTCTACCTTTTAAATGTGTATTGATTTTCTTCGTTTATTATCACCCCATTGACATTTTGACACTGACTAATTATTGTTGACAAACAAACATATCAGTGCCACTTGATTGGTAAACTGTTGTGTATTGTAATAAAAATGCTACATATGTGTGTTAGAGTAGAGCCAGAGAGAGATGAGGATCTAATTGAAAAGTAAATATTTCTTCGCTCAATCTTTCTGTTTTCTAAATGTCTAAATGAGGATTTTTTTTGTCTATATTGAAGCTTAGGTCAAGAAAGCAAGGCTTCCTCTGGCCGGATTGCCCCCAACCATCTTATAATATGCTCTGTAGGTTCTCTGTTCACAGTATAACTCAGTTTATTTTCAAACTAGAAATACAAAATCAATTTGCCTTAGTTAACGTGTAGGAATTGAAATTTGTTGAGTGAAGTGATTGTTTTTTCTCTCTGTTTGATATAGTTAATTATAAAGTAGTTCATATGTATACGGTTGGTGTGAAATTTGCAAAGTTTTTCGAATCACTTTTGATTTATATCTTCATCATCCTATGTGAATCCTTATTTCACTGTTTCAGTCTAAATAAAGCATTTCTCTCTCAATGTGGTCACGATGCTTTTACCCCACTTGTTAAACAGTTTTTTTATTATCCCTTTTTAGACATTACTGGGTGGCGGTGATTCAATGAGTATTTTCTATCGATGTGAACATTGTGAAGCGATAGTATTCAGTTCAGCGATGCAAGAACATTTAAACTCTGAAGAGCATAAATTGGGAATTGCCAAAATCCATGGAAGCTCAGTAATAGGTTTCGATCATATCCTTCCACTACGGGAATATCGTCGCTCGTGTCAAGAAGTTTTGTGTCCTGTATGGCCTTCAGTGAAATTTACTGATGCGGAGGTAAGCTAATACTTGAGTGATATGCCTGTTCAATATAATACAGAAAATTCATCTGGTCATTATTATTATTATTATTATTATTATTAGTATATATTATTGTTCCCTTGGGTTCCGAGTGGAACACATAGGGCTTCAGCAACACGTCTCCATTTTGCCCTCTTCTCTGCGATCCTCTTTAGCTGGCCTCGTGGTCGTCCATAGTCTCTCATTTCATCCATGTCACTCGTCGTTTCCCATTCGGGTTCCACTCCAGGGATGGCTCTGGAGTCTGTCTGTCTGTCTGTTTTCGACATAGAACTTTGCACCGATGTGCAGTAGTTCAAGTCACCACACTCCCTCCATTTAGCACACAAAACAAGAGAAGAAAGTAGAAGAAATGCCCAATATAGACAGTAAACAGAGGTGTGAGACAAAGGAATAGGAATAACGGAGAGCAAAACAGTTTCATTGGAAATCACAATTCACAAGGAGTGAATGCATCTGTGCCATCCATTGAGAACGATTTTGAGCCATGTCACCAATTGTTTCCAACCATTGGTTTTTACCGTCCCGAGGACCCCAACCAGTCAGGAAATCTACACCTTCCTACGTGGCCTAGACTAACTGTTGTAGATTTCATTGACTAGTGCCATGTTTTGGTTTGACCGCCGCTAGCTCTTTTCCAGCCTGACCCCATATTATCAGCTAACATTGCCTATCGGTCGAGGAAGGCGATGCATATTCTAAGTCAACGAGATTATTCCTTGGTAAGAAGTCAATCCCTGAGTCTTTGAAGTGAGTTAGGGTTAAATCCATTAGTACATCTATGATGAAATTGCATAGAAATAGGGATAATGGGCATCCCTGACAGACATCACTAGTCGTGACCCTGGAGAGTGCCATATCACTCAACGGGGTCAACTCAGTATGTTTCCCATACATCTCCATTTCCTTCGGAATATTTGCTGAACAGTAGAATCTTGATTGGTTCGTTCACAGAGTTTCTTGTTCCTAATTCTTTCTGGCCTACCATTTGATCTTGAATATATGGAGCCAGCGAAGGCAGCTTTTGATAAAAGTCTTCAGTGACTGACCTGTTGGAAATAGCTTTTTTTTCTTGACCCATATAGAGGAACTGACTGTGTCTCTCCTGGTCACGATCAAATTTACAAAATTTTTATTTCTGAATATTACCTACCTGTGACAGGTAGAGATCGAATCTATATCTATCATGTGCAAGTCAGCAGATATTATTAGGTGGACTTCAGAAGGTAGTCCGGGATAAGCATCAATATTACAAATTGTGGAACAGTTTTGACCGCCTGTTTATTTATTTACAAATCAATTTCTCACCTGTCTGATGATTTGATCTAAGATTCAGTGAAACTCTCAGACGTGTAGCAACTTTAGCAGTGTGATAAAAATCAAATGAAATGAGTATATAGATCACAAGGGACCGTGCATTGGATACAAAAATAAAACAGTTCATCACTCGGTAGTGTAATTACAATATATGTAATTTAGGCTTAATGGATTATAAACCCCGTAATAACAGACAGTACTTAAATGGACATATTTATTGATTAGCTTGAGCTGTTTGAAGTAGTAGTAGTAGTAGTAGTTGGAGTTTGGTGACAATGTGTAAATATGTAACAACCTTCAAAAACAAAAACCTTTGAAATTTGTTTGAGCAAATAAAACCAAGTAAACTTCAAAAGTTGATCAGTCACATTTGCATTTAGAAAGTCAGTTGTGTACAAAAGTCAAAATGTATTGATGGTGTGATCGGCGGACTGACGGACTGACTAGTTTCAACATTGAACTTTGCACCGAAGTATAACAGTTCGAGTTGCCACACTTCATGTAACTACTATACAAAGGAAAAAAAGACAGATTCAAAATAACTATAATAAGCAGAACGATCTCAAGAGAATCCTCGTCGAGAATTGTTATCCAGAACGATTTATTGCAAAATCTATGAATCCTAGACCACAAAAGCCGCCCATAGTTAGCGTCCCGAAAAAACTACTCTACATGAATCTTCAATTCAATGAAGATATATCTGCGGAAACACTGAAAAATCGACTGTCGCACTCACTTAAGAAGACCCTCTTCGCAAGTGAACTACGACTAATCTTCGCGACAAAACCTATGATTCATGTGAACGTGAAGGATAAGCTACCACTGCTGGCCTCATCGATGTGCATCTACCAATTCACCTGCTCGTGTGGAGCCAGGTATGTCGGCCGTACCCAGCGTTCACTTTCCAAACGTATCACCGAACACTAACCAACATGGTTTTACAAAGCAAGGAAACGATGCCCCCCAGCTCCATCTTAGAACATCTGATAGATTCCGGACACCAAGCTACACCCCAAACAAACTTCAAAGTCGTCTACAGAATCCGAAGTAGTCTTCCTAAAGGTGTACGAATCAGACTCCTTCAAACTGCAGAAGCAATGGCTATTCACTTGCTAAGTCCTGAACTCTGCATACAGAAGAAGTTCGTTCAATCACTACACTTGCAATGGACGTAATCTATCTTATTACCCGACAAGTAAATTCTACCTAATATTTTTTTCTATCTTCATTAGTATCAATTTGTCTTCTCAACTGTAATATTTTACATTTTCAACCTTCTTGTTCTCTACCCCCACCCGATTGAATTTCTACACCTCACTACCACTATTACTGACTTGACCAACGCTCAATTTCTAGTCATTTCTAGTCATGTTACGTCATCCAACTTATTTGCTCAATTTCACTTCTAATATAAATGGCATTATTCTCTACCCCACTTCTACTTAGTCTCTCTCTACCTGTAATTACTTACCTCAGTTGCTACCCTAACCTGAATTGAAACATTTTAGTCAATTATATTGCGTGATCTAACTAACTTACTAACTCAATGTTACTTTAGTTGCTGTCTGATTTACCTTGTTTCTATATTAGATCAGTCTTGTATTATCTAAACTTGACAAACCACATGTACACACATAGACAAATAATTATATATAAATGCGATTGTACAGATATGTGAATGAATTCGCCGGCGAAAAGAGTCTCTTCGCTGAACGTCTTCTCTTTTTCATATCACCAATTGTCTCATGCCTTCATTGGTTTCTAAGGTCCCGAGAGCCCCAACCAGCCAACCAGTGTACACTTCTCAATGTGACTGATTGACTGGCTGGCTGGCACAAACTAACTGTTGTGGATGGATTTCACTGACTGACGAAGCCATGTTGGCTAGTTTTGGTTTGACCACCACTGACTGACTGACTGGCTGGTTAACTATTTTCCAACCTGATCCATCCTATTTCAGCTAACATTGTCCGTCGGTCGAGGAAGGCGATGGTCAGCAATGCACGCCTAACACATGTCCTAACCATCTCAATCGGTGTAACTTCACAACCTCATCGATTGATTTCCCTCCCACCTACCTACCTACCTACCCAACTAGCACTCGACCGACACCTCACCTCAATATTGCTCACCCTATTACACCACTTCCCACGGGAGATAGAAGGCAGGTACCTACGATCAAAGACAGCTGGCTAGCCGGATTTTTGATGTCTTCCACTCTCAATGGCAAGGTCTCACTCACAGCCTTGAAGGAGGAGCGAGTGGACTGCTGTGCGGTACACTCGCCAACCACACATGTGGTCCGGGATTCGATCCTCAGCCGACGTACTCCTAAACCTCACTAGACCGGTACTAAGGCTGGAAAAGACCGAAGGTTGGGTGCGAGGTTAGCAACCCTATGCCGTAAAAGTATTTCTTTTAGCATAACAGTGACCATTGTTTGAAAGTGTCAGCATAACACATATAAGGAGGGTATATAAAAATTTTTTTTAAAGTAGTATAACATACGTTTGTGGTTTTCAAATTTTTGCTGTCTATTATCTTGACATTTGATTTACTTTGGTGTTTACGTCCACGAATATGAGCGTCTAATTGCTCCAAAGAATTCATTTTTACATCACACAAAGAACAAAAGAGATTGCCATCAGGTAACAAAAACTTTTGCTTCATATCTTTGGTGGCAGTGTTTACAAGCACAGAGATATCCACAAGGCTACATGGGTGTCACCAGACGGGCGAACCAAAAACCAAATTGACTTTATCACAATGGTCAGCAATGCACGCCTAACACATGTCCTAACCATCTCAATCGGTGTAACTTCACAACCTCATCGATTGATTTCCCTCCCACCTACCTACCTACCTACCCAACTAGCACTCGACCGACACCTCACCTCAATATTGCTCACCCTATTACACCACTTCCCACGGGAGATAGAAGGCAGGTACATACGATCAAAGACAGCTGGCTAGCCGGATTTTTGATGTCTTCCACTCTCAATGGCAAGGTCTCACTCACAGCCTTGAAGGAGGAGCGAGCGTACTGCTGAACAGTACACAGGTCCTTTGGTCGACAGCCAGCTGGATAGCACCTGCAGTATCAGCTTCCATTTGACAGCAGGAGCGAATCGCATGCCAAACACTCGAAGATTTCTAGCTGCTTAAGGTGTTTAGAAGACTCTTCTTTCCCTCCGCGTCTTCACTCACCAAATGGACTATAACATCCGCATGCATATTTGAAGTCAACGAGATTATTCCCTAATGGTAACAAGTCAATCCCTAAGTCGGTGAAGTAGTCGGTCAGAGTTAAGTTCATCAGTACATCTATGAGGAAATTAAACAAAAATGGGGATAGTGGGCATACCTGACAGACACCCTTTGGTGTCTGATGACGACTTCAGATGACAACTGTCCCTCCGTAGGCTCTCCCTCATCTGGCGCGCAGCATGAGTGTGAGTAGAGTGAGTGCCTTGGTCAGGGCGATGTATTTCCTCGGTATTCCCCTGACAGTGAGACATCGCCATGGTACCTGTCGGTCGAAGGAATCGGATGCTGCTTCCACGTCGAGAAATATGACGATTGTTGAACGCCGGTAAGTATGCCTATGTTCCAGAATCTTCAATGAACGAAATATTCCGATATTGAGTAATAAGAAAAAGGCACAAACAGCAGAATCTGTCGAATACACCCACTCTCTTTCTGGTCTGAAGTCTGCCTCGTTCTCTCGTATTTGTGCCTCTCGAGCACCACTTAGTCCACGCTTGATTATTCTGCCGACGACGTTAGATGCCATATTAGTCATGCTAATCTCCCTGTGATTATCACACAGAGACTTGTCTCCAATCGTGTATATCGGAATAATCAGTGACTTACCCCAACCCGACGGGACTTCCTCTGACTCCCAGACGCTGCCTAATACCTTAGTTAACGCTAACAGTAGACGTTCTCCGCTATCCTTAAACACCTATGGACTCATTCCAGAAGGTCTCCGTGCTTTGCTTCGTTTCAGACTAGTAACAGCTTTTGTAGCCTCAGTTAAGGCCGGAGGACTTGTGTATATATCCCACTCAGGGAGGTAGGTATTGCATGCTGAGTAAGTTGAGCATGGCTGCAGGCCGATTAAATTTCTCCTCAAAGTTATCTTTCCAGTGTTTCAGGCGTCTATGGTAAGAGCTAATTATGGTGCCATTTTCCTCACAGATTGTTTCACTTATCATCATTCGCCTTCCACCATCTGTTTCCCTGATAAGTCTAAGTAGTTGTCTGATGTTACCAATCGTCGATGCCTTTTCCATCTCTTTCACTTTTGTCACCACCCCACCAGCACAGTTCCCGGTCGTTGCGAAAACTTCTTGTTAATTTTTGTTTGAGCAGCTTTTGCTCCTCATCATCATTATCGGAGCTCGCCGGAATCAGTCGTCTTGCGTCAATCAGTTCGGATGAGGCAGTAGAAATGCGAAGAACTTCGAGTGACATTATGCGCCACACTATCCTTCTAGTGTAACTTCAGTGAATAGGACAACGTGGAGGTTTTCTGTTAAAGCCCTGTTTGCCGCTAGGAATTCAAAGTGGTTAATAATAGTAAAATCTGAGTAAGTATTAGAAGGAGTAAAAAAACACTGTGATATTCATAACTGGGAGTTTATATCGATAGTTTGGTTATTTCAGACTTCTTTACGTCATAGTGATTATATACACATTATGTATTATGGTAGGCAAAGTTCAACAATAGCATCCCAAACGATGTGAACGCACTAGTGTCCTTGATCCGACCAATCATAAAATGAGGAATTTTTGCATGAAAAATGATGTATATTTACAAGAAAATGCATGAAAACACATTAAACAGGGTATCTTTCTCTGACATCACTTAAAAACACGTCCTAGGTGTAATGAGGAGGGAGTATCAGTTGCTGAGTTAGTTACACTAGTTTTTCTGTACATGTATTCACCGAGGTGACTGAAGATGAGCTGCTTTTGTGCATCGTTTATCTCTCGTATCTTGTTTTACAAAGGCCTCGGTTGAATTACTATGGTTTCCAGTAAGAGGATCGATGATTATTCACCAGGAAAATGTGGATAATAAAACAAATTAGAATAAGTGACATCAGCTCTAAATGTAACCCTAATCGTAAACCTAACCTAAATTCTAACCCTAATTACAACCCTTATCCTAGCCGCAGGCCTAACCCTAACCCCAATACTTACCTTAACCCTAATCCTAACCCTAGCGAGCGAGCTATTAACACATTGTCCAAACAGTACTGGAAAAGGTGATCTGGGTGAAAGTTGCTCCTTAGTTGGTGAATAGCATTGATATTTCAGCTATGATAATGACAGGTGGTGCCGTAGGCCAACGACTAGCATGCGTTCAAGGTCATTTTAGCGTTCGCACTTCTGGGACGCTATCGTTGAACTTCGCTTACATATAAAAGCTCCATATGTTATTCTCTCATTGTCATCATCTTCAGCGCTGAATGGATATGTTGTCTAGCAGGACAATGAAAGCTGTGCAATTAAATCAGCCAGTTCAGAGAACACAACTAAATGTGAAAATCATTCACCTATGCTATAAATATTCTCCATTATAGATAGTAACTACTAGTTTTAAATCTTTTAAATTGTCAGGCTAACCTCTTAATGGAAGCAGCGAAGAATGATGATGATTGCATTTTACTCTTGTCATCATGTGATGGTCGATCACGTGTTGGCTTACATTTAGCCAATGCCCTGTTGATAGCTAATCGGCATTTCCCTCCGTCCAATAATTTTGGTAGTGCATTGAAACCGAGTACTAGTACTACTCCTACTGATATTACGTGTGTGCTATGGATTGCACCTGAGAAACCAATGACTACAGCTACAAATCGTTCTACGTTCATATTTCAGTGAGTAAATTCATTTTACTGGTTATATATATATTTGTATACTTCTTATTTTAGTAGCATTCTCGTATATAATATACCTTCTGCAATTATATTTACTGGTCTGTAATCATTCATCTTTAAAAATTTGTTCACTTGTTATCATTATTATTCGCTGGGTTCCGCGTGGAACACAGGGCTTCAACAACGCATCTCCACTTCGTTCCTTTTTTCTGCTGTCGTCTTTATCTGGGTCCACGATTGCCTAAAGTCTCTCATCTGCTCCTCTCACAATCCCCGTCATATCAATCTCGGCCGCCCAACTCATCGTTTCCCGTTCGGGTCCTACTCGAGCGATGGCCTGCATTGCGCGCCATATCATTCTGCAGTCTCCTCAATGTGTGTCCGGTCCATCTCCATTTTCTTCGGAATATTTGTTGGTCAATAAATTGCTGGATAACTCGTTCCAAGAGTTTCTTGTTGCTAATTTTTCCTGGCCTGCCTTTGGTCTTCAACATTGAGTGAAGGTAGTTGTTGATAAAAGTCTTCAATGGCCTCTAGGGTATGTTTTTCGTGACGCTCCAAGTCTCAGACTCACATATATTATAGGGAATGGCTGACTGACTTAACATTGGCGTTAAAATTCCTAATTTCGTTGTGTATGCTGCGGAGTGCAGAAGGTTGTCGAGCTGATTTCAAAGTGATGAGAGTCTGTCCCACCTTCCCCATTGCGGTTTTGACATTCTCATTCGTGGTGTCGCCTGTAGTTGAAAGGATGCCTCTCAGATAAGTGAAAGATGTGACCTCTTTCAAACTTCTCCGGTCGACAGTGATTGGTGGGTTGGTTGGTTGGTTGGTTATCTTCATCACCTCCGTCTTCTCTATGTTACGGTGGAGTTCTGTCTTCTGTGGCCACTTCTTCAGTCAATTTGTTGGTTTTCGCCTGCGTGCAAGTCTTCAAGTTTGTGTGACACTAGACATATATCATCCACGCGTATAATCCAGATCTTCTAGAGTCTCCTCATCGGTGATCCAGCGTGCTCCTGTCTCCTCGCTCCCTGTGCACAGTCTGACGCATAATCCAGTCCACCACAATTAAGAGTATTATCCGTGGTGATAATAGACAGTCAGCTTGTCTTACTCCTGTGTTCGTGTGGCGACTTGAACTGCCGCACATATGTGCAAAGTTCTATGTCAAAAACCGAACGACCGACCGACACCTGTGTTCATTTCGAACGCCTCACTGTGTTTTCTGTTGTGGATCTCCTGACACGTGACATTGTCATATAGCCAGCCAGCTGTTGAATGAGGTTGATAAAGATTTTGGTACTGCACGCCGTAGTGTTGCAGTAGTTTCCAAATTACTTCTCGGTCAATGGTGCACTGTCGAAGGCCTTCTTGAAGTCGATTAAAGAAGTTGAGGTAGAGTAAGGTTTGACTGCGATTCTATGCTTTGTTCGACTATGTTGAGTAGAGCTGCACTTTGATGAGCATATGATTCGACGACATCATCATGTAAGTAATTCTTAGGTTAGACAGTGTGTGTTTGGACACATTGGAAGGCACTATTCACTGAGTGTCGTCATCTGGAAACACCGGCTTCAGTGGTTTGGACATATACTACAAATGTCATCCCAGTGGCTTCCATACAAATCTCTGTTCGCCTAGCCCTAGGACGGGATGGAAAAAGCGGAAAGGTTGTTGTTCGGTCAGTGCATGACGTGGCGTTGTGGGATGAAGGATATTTGTGGTAGGTTAGCTTTGGTTGATAAATCACGACTCCCTGGTTGGGATCCGAAAGACAGCTTGAAACATTATCGGATGTGGCCAAGAATGACAATCAATCAGTGGCGAATGTGCTGCAGTTATCCTTTTTTCTTCCCCTTCTGACAATAATTCGACGAATGCTGTTTCATCTTGATAAATAAAACAGCTACCATCCCAGATGGAGTTCTGTAATCATTCTCTGCCCATTTTGTTCACGAGTTGTTTTATCATTATTGTTGTATAGTGCATCGTCTTGGCGCCTATTTTGTACCAAGCTTTGTGTTTTAAATTAAACTCTTTTTTGTTCATATGCCTTCTAGGCCGGGTGGTGAGAAAAGTTCAACTGGGCGTCCATTGATTTTTGCATATCCACCGTTCGATCCGTCAGTCCTATCAGAAACTGATATCGTGAGAACAAATTCAGGCAAGTTTTTTCTCTTTTGATGGTATTGTATTCAGTTAGAATATCTATCGGTCTATCGTCAGACTTGTTATTTTTGTTCTCTAGAGTTAAGTGCGGCGAACTCAGCTAACCAAGTCGTTGAGTTTTTTAAATGTAATCTGATTTTGTTTCGTATGTATATATTGGTTGGAGAATTTCATCATGAGCTGAGATCAGTTAGAGAACCATCGGAAAAGAAGCTGGGTGTACTGGACAGCTGTTTCGTCAGCCTGGTTCGGGACTCTTCATCAGTACGCACCCACCGACAGGGTTGGAACCAATGACCTTCTTTTTACAAGACAAGCGAGCTCGTGGAACATTGAGCCACTGGGACGTAATCCAATGACCAGTTCATGATATCTAACTTCTCCCAATTCATGATATAGAGTGACCATTTCGCAATGTCCTCTTGGATGAGTAACTGTCCTCACCTTGAACCTGCTGTATATGATAGAAGTAAACTTGGCTCGCCATATTTTTTTTTCTATAATAGTAATTTAAACAGAACAATAAGAAGACGTAATGTTTCTGCCCTGTTCGGTACAAAAGAGCCCTAGTAAGTGAGGTGCCTCTTCAGTAGAATCCAAAGAATACCGGCCGAAGACACATTTGATGAGGAAGAAAGAAAGTTGACACAAACTCTGGTTAATAGTAATTATCCCAATGAATGAAAAACAAAACGATATTGCTGTATGTAGGCTGAGATTTTGTAAATTCTGGTTTAATAATATTTTGATAAAGCTATTAGCAGCATTCAACAGTGAAACGTCAGTAACAACAATATCGTTTTATTTTTCTTTCATTCATTGGGAAATACGAAAACGTTATAATTCATAGTTCGAATGCCTATCACGTTAGCTGTGTGAACAAGAGTAATGCGAAGTCCATTGGAAAGATTCGGTTGGATGCGACAAATCACCACTTTGAAAACTTTCGTTTTACTTTATCCACTACGTAACTACTATCAACTAAATGTGACAAAATAGTAGGGCTACGAATTGCTTCTATCTGTCCTTTTGCAAACCATGATGGTAGATGTTCAGTAGTGACACGTTGACTAAGCTGTCTGCTAATACGCCCAACATAACTATGACCACAGGTGCAGCTGAATTGATAAATGCACAAAGGTGTGTGGCGAAGCCATCTAGCTATCTATCCTTCGTTTGCGTACCAGTCATTCGTTGGTTAGAGAATGACAAACATAGGTATGCTGCGTAAAAAGTTCTTCATATACTCCTGAAAAGTCTCTGGAATAAAATCTCACTTGACAATCTCAACTTAATAAATGGAGGTATTTTACCTGCAGTCATGGTCTCAGGTTTTCTCTCCAATGTTTTATATGTTCCTTTATGAAACTAATCGGATATCCATCCCATCTCCGTCAGTGAATCATGGATGTATTCGGATTCCGCTTGCAAGCGGTCATCCGTACATATCTTTCTTGCTCTGCTAATCAGACAACAATTCTTTTATATTTAATAGGCACGTATCTATGAAAGTGTGAGTACTGCCCTGTGAATGTGCTTTTTCTATACACTCTTCTCCCAAGTAACCCAACTTCTCACCTACTTAGTAAGATGTCCAAAAAATGTAGTTTACTATCCTACTCCTCTACACATTGCTATTAATAAGACTAATTGCACATCTGATATGCACAATCTTACACTGTGATTGGTGTATATTTGAGTTTTTATTTGTAAAATTATGTATATTAGAGTTAATTAGATCTGATGAGATCCAGTTGAAAGCGCAATATTATTCACTTGAATGTGTTGTTCTAAAGTGTGAATTGACAAAAGGGTGACACATACTCATGTTGTTTATAGTGAACAGAATGTAATTTTCACTTGGGGGTGGGGGTGGGAGTGGGAGTTATATTCAATGGTGTGCCAGAAAAACAATTTCCCTTTTTATTCCTTCACGTTCCCAGTGGAACATAGGGCTTCAAGCTAGGCTAGGCTTGAAGTTTCTTTAGCAGTGTTTATTTTTACAGGATGGGGTTGCTAGCCTCATGCCCAACCTCCCCTCTTTGCCAGTTCTATCAGTGGCTTAGCGAGGTAAAGGAGTGCGTCGGTGACCGGGGATCGAATCCCGGACCATGTACATGGTCGGCGAGCATCCTAACCGCTGTGCCACCGACGCACAATGTTGGTTTGGTAACCTGAAGGTCCTGGGTTGGATCCATGCTGATATGGAGCGAATGGGTGCGCACTGACTGTGAGTGCTGAAGAGTCCCGAAAAAGGACAAAACACAGCTGTCCAGTACTTCTCCTCGGGTTTTTAAATGATTCTCTAATATATGCGAAGTCTATTTACATATCATTCACATAAATTTATATTCTCTACCATTTTTCTATCCCTTAGGTGGCTTTATAACACATTTAGCCTGGTTACTTATGCAACAGAAGTTTTTATGCGGTATCATTATCGAGGATGTAGAAATCGTATCTAAAGATGTAGAGTTTTGTCAATTGCTCACATGTTTTCTAAAAGTTTACTCTCGTCAGGCTAATCGCGGTCGAGTAAGTTTTTAAAAAACTGTTATTATTATTATTATTGACCAAGTTAAACTTTAAGCACCACTGACTTGACTACCAGTGGAGTGCGACCGCACCAATGACCTTCAAACGCTCACTGAGCAAGTTAGTGAAACCTGGGAAATAACGTTGTCATTATCAAAAAAATATGCTTATCGAAGTGTTATGCGATTACATAGGATTTCTGGCAGTTTTCAGCTTAGGCTTGAGAAAGATTAAGTTATTCTTTAAGCCAAGGACAAGTTAGGGTTGAGCTAACCTAATAAAGGCGACATTAGGGTTGGTTCGAGTTAGATTACAGTTAGTTTAGGGATATTTTCACGTTAGAGTTATTAGGTTCAGCAAAGATTGGGGTTATTGTTAGGGTTAGAAGGCCTAAATAAAATTACATGCATATAATGCATGTTTATATAACAATAGAACTTGTGCAGTGTGGTAGAGTATAATTCCATTGTGGGTAAAATTTATTTCGATAAACTCTCAGTGTAATACAGTAGTAATATTTACTGATGACAACGTTCCGAGCAGAATCTATTGCTCACGAAATATTACTGTGAGACTTTATCAGAATAAATATTACCCACACTGTGGAATTATACTCTGTTGATACTCCAACCTAAAACTGAGATCTATTTTTATCACATGTGAGAGCAAGGTATCCTCTGAAACACTTTTCTACAGTTTTTTATGCATTATTTCATAAAAATATATGTATTCCATACACAAAAATTCCTCCTTCGCGTGATTGGTGCGTTCGAGGTCATTTGTTGATTAGTAGTTAGTGGTAGTTAAAGTTTAACTTTGCCTTATTATTATTATTATTATTATTATTATTGTATAATTCCTGCTTTAAAACTAGTATTGTAACATCATGAATTGGTTGAAGGACTTATACACACCAAATTTTCACGTAGAAGAGAGGTTAATCTTTGACCTAAATTTGTGTGAACTTCTGTTGAAATTCTACATTTACATTCACTTTTTTTTCCGTATTAGATAAGTTAATTTTGGAATATCACAGAGTGATTAACAGTATTAACGACTGGATGATGACGTTTCTTGCATGAATTATTGCTACTCATAATAATAATATTATCATTATTTAGTTACACGGTTTCATACTATGTCTTATATATACACTTTTTCTCTCTCTTTCCCTGTCTCTCCATTTTCCCTTTGTTGTTTGTTGGCACTTTCCATATCTCCGGTATCGTAGGCGGTGTTGTGTCATTCTGAATGCTGCATGTGTTCCATATTCAATCGATAGACAAGGCTTGAGTGATTAACCTCTCCCCGTCTCCACCTAACTATATTACTGTCTAATATTTCCACCCACCCTATGGTGTGTGATTACATGCAAGTGAATGATGCAATGCAGTGCAGTGCGATGACTTGGCTTTTTTCTAGGCCATTTAACTTCACTGTGGTGTCAATCATTCTGGGCTGACCTACGTTGACCTATTTGACTGACCTCAGAGTCTTTACAGCCTTAGTGAATTATTATTATTCTTAATTGGATCTATTGGGTCTTCACACCGCACATGTGCAATCAAAATCCTGCAACCGCTTATACCGGAGATATGGAAATTGGCAACAAACAACAAAGGTAGGCAAGTTGGAAAGACAAAAAGAGATAAAATGTACATTTAACACAAATTGTGAAACCGTGTGACTTAATTGATATTGTCACAGCAGAAGGCAAGACACGGAAGCTAAAGTATACTTTCAATTGATCAAACAGCTATTTATGTGTATATATACAGTGCATATTCTTTAACGAATCACTGAGCTTGTGATTTTGGATTACATTAAACGACATGAAATATAATGTTCAAACATATACATTATTCTCTTAATGTCTGTTTTCAATGTAGAACTTTACACCGATGTACAGCAGTTCGAGTCACCACACTCCCCCCCCCCACCCCAATTAGCACACAAAGCAAGAGAAGAAAGTAAAAACAAATGCAAAATAGAGCTAGTAAACAGAGATGTGTGGCAAAAACAATAGTAAGATGTAAGAACCATATAGTTCTATTGGGTATTATAAGTCACAGGGAGTAGATGCATCTGTGCCAGCCATTGAGTGAGAACGATTTTGAGTCATATCACCAATCGTCTCAAGTTTTCATTGGTTTCTACTGTCCCGAGAATCCCAACCAGCCAATCAGTCTACAATTCCCTACGTAACTGGCTGGCTGGCTGGCTTAAACTAACTTCTGTGGATGGATTTCATTGACTGACGAAGCCATGTTTTCGGGCTTTGGTTTGACCACCACTGACTGGCTGGCTAACTCTTTTCCAACGTGATCCATACTATTTCAGCTGACATTGCCCGTAGAGGAATTGTTGTTAATGCAATATTGACCTGTGGAAATAGTATTCAAACGTTGGTGTTACACCAGCAAATACAATGATTCTAACTATATGAGAATAATATTCTGTTGGAACCCACTGTCTGTATCACACCAACACAATATGATTTTGAGGAATAATTCATGCTCAAAACACGTCATCCATTTGTTAATACTGAATAAAAGGTTTAATGGTGTGAAATATCTCCACATCATGAATTAAAAGTCAATCTGAACGACGAATATTCTCTTTTCAATAATTTCTCCTCTTCAGGTTCTTACAATTATAAAATGGAATATTTGTTGTCTTAAGAATATTGGCCAGTTATGCGGCGGACACATTTTCACGTAGAATAACAGATTAGTTTGGGGGGTGACAAAATAAATAGTAATATTTCTGTGACAAACGTGCTCTGAGCTGAAATCGATTACAAAATATTTCGGTGAAATGGGACCCAGTGGTGGTGATTAGTAGTGAATCATAATAGATTTGTAGAATATGGGGTAGGGGAAAAAATTGACACCAACACAACCTTCAGGGTGATATACCGAATTCCGAAGTCGTTATCATGTATAGTTTGCTTACGTCCGCTACACATAGCTGAAGCTGTTGCAATAAGATCGAATACACCGGAACTTTGTATCCAAAAGAACACATCCAGACGCTGTTCCTACCGTGGCTAAACTTGGATAAATGATTCTTCTTCTCAACAGGAGTGCTTATTCCCCATAAGGTTCTTGGTTATTTTCTTTCTTTCTTTGCTTATAATTATTATTCGTCATAAATTTATATCCATCATTTGAACATTCTCTGAATACCATCGAATTTTCCATTTATACTATCGGACTTGTTATTATTAGTGGTATTATCTCTTTTCTCAATATATGCCTCCACCTGTTCCATTTCACACATTGGTTATGTCATGATGAACTTCTCATTTCAGTCTTACTATCTCCTCTTTAATTCATACTATAGTGTACTAGCCACTCACTCACCTGACACCTTTCATAACCTTGAAGTGACTTGTCATTTTCTCCTACCCCATATTCTACGAATCTATTATGACTCACTAATCACCACCACCACCACTGTGTCCCATTTCACCGAAAGATTTTGTAATCGATTTCAGCCCAGAGCACGTTTGTCACACAGATACGACTATTTATTTTGTCACTCCCTAAGCTAATCTGTTATTCTACGTTAAAAATGTATCCGCTGCATAATTGGCTATCATTATTTTTACGACAACAAATATTCCATTCTATAACTGTAAGAACCTGAAGAGGAAAAATGATTCAGGAGGATATTCTTCGTTCAGATTGACTTTTATTACTGAATATCAGATTATGTATTTCTTAGGTATTTTGTGAGTAATGTTATAATGTAGATGTTTCGTCGCAAACTAGCAGTCATTTGAAAAATTATCTACCAAATTTAAGTGCTCCTGTGGAGGCAGTCAGTTACATAGGCTGTACAATTAAACGGGTTTCTCGTCGGATTTCCGAACATCACCCTGCATAGTGGTGGTTAAGTAAAGGACAAATAAAATCTATGCATAGAGCTATTCTATCTCATCTTGTGGATACAGAACAGAAGATAGATGTTAACCAGGTAGGTGGCTTTCAGAGTCATTTACCGCATACCAACAAATCTCAATTTTGCCTTAAGAGTTCGACTGTTAAATATTGCTGAGACTGGCTGTTGGGATCCATATTAAGAAGCCTAATTTATACGTCCAAAAGAAGTTGGTTCAGACATTATCCTTACCTTGGCCATCCAGGTTTGAATGATCCTGAATTTTTGTGGAATTTTCATAATTTTAGTTGATATTCTATTTGTTATTATATTTTTATTATCATTATTATAATTTAAGCATCTTTAATGAACTGTAATTCCATTGTGATCTTACTTACCAAATCGATATTATTGAAAAAACCACTAATATTGTCATTGACTACTATTCTAGAATATCCTATGAATAAAAAATATATATATAATTGTAGAGCGAGAAGATGAAATTATCAAAAAGAATATTCTTTGTCCAATTATTTTGCGTTTTATGGATGTCTGAAAAATTATGTTCACAAACAATTGTAACATACCAGCAATTTCTACATGATCTCAGTTGACAAAGAGTTCAAGTTTAAACAAAAAATCAATGTATGTATACCATGGTACAGTAGTCACGTAATAAAGACAAGAGGTATAAAGCCAGAGATTACGTAATCGAAGGACATCCAGTTACCAGGTGGGCAAGGAAAGACTGATAACTGCTTCTTTGTGAACGCATAAATCGGTTTTCAGGCGTATGATAGAGATTGCTTCAGAAAACTTGAGGAGAATTGAGCTCCTTTGTCTAATGATAATTTTATAGGAATTCGCGATGTCCAACTCTTGACCCCTATCAAGGAGATGTCTGGTAATGGCACTATTGAAAGTGTTTGTTCCCTAGAGTCGTAGGCTTTTCGGTACATGTTCAGAAAATCGGAGGTGCTCCTGTCTCTTTGTTCTCCCAGTGTGACTGCTACTGCAGATGCATGTGAATTTGTATATACACAGTTAGCACTGACATGAGAAGAGTATCTGTCGACTTTTGATTGTATCAAGAAGCATGTGTTGTCCGATAGACG